GCGGTGGACATTGCGGTCCAATGGTGCTTTCAAAATTAATTATTCACTTGCCCTGTTAAATTAACATTTGTTTAAGGCCTCATCATCATCAGCAAAAACAACAACAACACTACCAACAAAAACATCATCATCATTACCAACTTTGCTTGCTGGCCGTATGAATGGATGGCTAACAACGCTTCCACGAGGAAATTGAGTGCGCGAGAGAATGGTTGGGCAGGAAGTTGCCTGCACATGGACGTAACTATAAAAAAAAGAGCGTTGAGCACACAGCTACACACATTTATATGTATGTATGATATATAAGCTTATATAGTATATTATATTGAACTCCTACAAAAGTGAGCCGACGTACGAATGAGTACAAGCTGTCTCTTATACACATCTAGATGTGTATAAGAGACAGCAGCTACACACATTTATATGTATGTATGATATATAAGCTTATATAGTATATTATATTGAACTCCTACAAAAGTGAGCCGACGTACGAATGAGTACAAGGACTCTATAAAATTTTCAGCCTTTGCGAACGTACGACCGACCAAGCGACCTAGCGACCGAACGGGCAACTGTAAAACGGCTGGCTGTGACACCAGAGCGACCAACAAAACGCTGGGGACAGAAAGGCAGAAAAATTTTTATTAATTTACAAAAAAATTAAGAAATTAAAAAAAAAAATTAAGAAAAAAATTTAAATAATTAAAGAAAATTAAAAAAAAAATTAAAAATATTAAGAAAATTAAAGAAAAAATAAAAAAATAAGAAAAATTAAAAAAAAAATAACTAAGAAAATTTATTATTTTGTAATTTTTTTTTTTTTTTGATAATAATTTGTCAGTAAAACGTTATTTAAAGCCCTTGTGTCCAATAAAAACCACAGAAAAAATCGAAAAATCTACTAAAGCCCATTGTAGGCAATGCTTTTCAGCAGGTTTACCGTCGTTTTTGGGCAGCGTAACACAAAACCGTAGATCAGTTACACATTTCCGCAACAACTTTGCAGCTTTCACGTATATATTTTCCTGCCAACATAGAAGCGCAGAATTATCATACATAATTTTTCGCACATTCCCATACACGATTATTACATTTCATTTTCGCATTTGCTTTGCGCACATTTCACAAGTAATTTACACAATTTCCGCAAATTGCACAATTTTTTTCTCTTCTTGCTTTTTTTCACTCGATTTTCGCACAAAATCTTCAACTTGCTTATATTATTTCATTTCATCAGCGAATTCCAATTACCGTGAAAAACTGTTACCGAAGTATTTGATGGAAACGCACAAAAAATAATGGAAAAATTGTCGCGAGTAAGAAAAGAAAAAACACAAATTTCTTAAATTCCAACAAAATCCACAACAGCAGCGGCGCAGCACAGCACAGCAAATTATCAACGACACCGACAGCGACTACAACGACTTCGAACGACGGCGACGACTACGACCACAACGCACGAACAGCAACGCCAGTACTCATCAGGCCAAACGGCTCACGTATCCTGCGAACCCAATATTGACGACAGCTGCTCCTGCCAATGCTGCTGCTGCTGCTTGTGCTGCAATGTATAAGCGCCTATTTCTATGCTTTGTGCGATGTTTTCGTTGTTGCTCAGCATTCACCGCGGCAGCAATGTAAGCGCGCTCACTACACATGCTCGCCACTGGCGCTCTACACGCTACGCTAAATTATGTACAAAGCACTTCGTAAGCGTTTGCCGCACTCGTTACGCGCTCTCTTTGCTATTTCCTTGATATTATTTTCGTCCTTCAAGTGCATTAAAATTTTAAAATATTTTCACCACAGCGCGTTTCAGTTTCCTTCGGCGCTCAAAGCTCGTTGGCATGTGTGCTTTTGTACCCACGCGCGTTGTTTGGTATACTGTTGCCACTCACTCTCTCGCTCTCTTTTTGTAAGAGAACGAGAGCGCCAGCAGGAATTGTGGCGTGAAAAGGATAACAGTATGTTTGACGTTTAGGTTAGCGTCAGCGTCGCAATGACAAAAAAAAAAACAAAAAACATCGCACAAACCATGTGCTGTTTGGTAAGGCAAAGTAGTGTGCCGGAATTCAGTTTTAGATTTTTATTTTGTATAATTTTGGTAACATTTCTGTACGAATTAAACACAACTGTACACTTAAATTTATTTATAATAAAAAGAAAGAAAATATATTACCCTTTACAAATACAAAAGATTTTTACAAGCACTTGACTTCGATCGTTCACTTTGTATGACAGCTATATGTTACAGTCGTTCGATATCGGCGGTTCCGACAAATGAGCGACTTCTTGGAGAGTGAAGGATATGTGCAAACGTTCAGAGCGATATCTCAAACCTAGGGGTCCAGTTTGCGTATATAAAGACAGACATCCGGGGACACGAAAGTAGCTAAATGAAATCACGCGATACTCGGCAGTCTGATCTTTTATATTTATACTTTTTTTAGGGTCTCCGACATTTCGTTCTGGGCGTTACAAACTTTGTGCCAAAATTAGTATATCTGACTCAGAGTATAAAGGTAATAATAATTTTTATTATGGCAAGTTGCGGTGTTCTTTACTTATTCTCCCGGGCGACAAAAGTGACTCTTGGAAAGTTTGTCATTGTCCATGGACATGCTGTCATGCTATTAATAATTCCCAAATTGTTGTAATTACATAAATTTCCCCATCTGAGTCTAAGTAAACAGCGATGGTCTCAAGAAGTTTGCCTACTGACACACCATCTCCTTGTAAATGTTTCAACGAGACCACTCGAAGTAGTCGAAGTAGATCGTTACTTTCTGAGAGAAAGTTTTTAAGAAAAGTTTTTAAGAAAAACTCAGAAATTTCAAATTTAATGGAGAATGCCTATTGTCTTTCGAAAGAATATTCCTTGGCATTTATTTTTGAAGATTATCTCTTTCAAATGTTGGCCGCGGCTACGTCTCAGATGGTCCAACCGTTGAGTCCTATTTTCGATGACTCGTTCCAGCATTTCGACTGATAACTGGCGCATTGCAACGTGATGTTTTTCTCCAAAGCCTAAATCGAAGTAGGAACATCCACATAGACCTTAGACTTTACATGTCCCCGCAGGAAAAAGTCTAATGATCAATATCGGTCAATATAACACAATCTTGATGGCCAACCGACATGCCAAAACGTGAAATTATCTGCTCATCGAAGTGTTCTTTCAATAAATCCATTGATTGATTGAGACCAAATGTCGCTGAAATCACCAGATTCAATTTCCGGTCATAGTCGGCTATCATGGCGGTCGCACCGGCATCATTTTTGAAGAAATGTGGAGCGATGATTCCACTGTCCCAACCCCTCCAAACAGCTCTTGAATCTTTTTAGGTTGCTCTTCGACCCGTTGCGACAAGTTTGGTTGTTTAAATACAATGGCTATGGGCCAGAACAATATTTGGCTCGAAGACGTCAGATCTTCTTGGATCTTTTCAAGAGTCCATAGAGCGAAGTTATGTCGCTCAGGAAGGTCGAGTTCCGGTCCATATGTCAGTCCGAGTTGTTGCGAACGCCACAGAATCGACTCTTCGTGTACACGCCCAGATACGACTGTTGTAACTATGTATATTTTCTTCACTGCGAGCTGGACGTGGTCTATTCGGTTGATGGGTGATGGTGTTACGAATAGTGTGCTCTGTAGGCCGATTATGTTGACCATAAGTTGAGCGAAGTACGAACGATTGCCAAACAATACCGAAAAAAATAACATTACAGCTGGTGTCAAGCGTGATGCGTGATCAATCAAAAAGAAAAACCAATAAGGTACCTATACTTGGATCACCCGTAATATAGGAAAAAAAAAAATAAATTTTTAATTTTTTTTGTATTTTAATTGCCTCCACTTCATGCGTCTTTCACTGATAACGACTAAAATTAAAAAAAATAAACTATTTTTGTTGCTGTACTCGTATATAAAAATAGGCACATTTTTTAGCGAAGATAGAAAAGTACCATAGCATATTTTGGTCTTCTGAACTTTTTTTCGCAATTGAGTTATTAATTCGCGATAGATGTGTCTTTAGAAAGACGTACTAGTGATAGGTCCTGTAGTTGTTTGATTATTACATGAGGAATGCGCCGAAATCTTAAGTCTATTGTGTTCTCTTCTAAATCACAAAGACTCCCATATCCCCGGCAAATAGATAAAGAACAATATTCTGCTGGGGGTTAGAGAAGCGATGTGATCCCTATTTGGAAACATGGATTCAAGGGCCTTAAGGTTCTTGATGTTAACCAAGAATTAGCATCTTAACTCAATATCTCAAACAGTTGTTGGTTTACTGTATTTTTAAGTGTTTATTCTAAAACTCGTTTTTCTCAAATTTATTAAACTTGCTTGAGTTCTCCGAAGACAAACGATACTATCACTATCAATTTGTTCTGCATGTTCTGCATATAGTTCTTTTTTGGCAATTGTTTTTTTTCTTCTAGGTTTGTATGGACAATATCATCTAGTAGAGATCTTTTAGGTTTCAGCTAAGGATAAGGCTGAAATGACAGCATCACTGGAGGACCTTTTTTAGTGCCGTCGGAGACGAGAAAAGGACATGAGGAACATTTTAGACAGACATTTCAAAAATTGAAAGACTAGTTCACGTGTATATGGACAAACAGACATATGGCTCATTTTCTTGAACTTACCGCACCTAGCATTAGTTGGCTCTGCACCCGACATGTACTTAAATTTCGGTTCGGTTTAAACACAGCACTTCCTTACTTATGGTACTATCAATTCTGCACTATCAACTACTGCGTGATGATGAATACGCTACTCGTTCATTGATGGTAGTAAAAATCAGCTTCTATGGCGGTTTCTTTTGATTGTGCGCCTCTTCTACTCAACGAAGAGTGTATTTATAATTTGTTGATAAGCGGACGGACGCTTGACACACGATCCATGATAAGAGCAGTTGGCTGGCGCACCAAGTAGATTACCCCCGGCGATCCAATTGAGCTAAGAATTCAGTTGCAAATCAATACTCAAACGGAATAGACTGACTAATCGGCGCGAAAGGTGTTTGATAAGGAATATTGGTTGATGAAATTTTGAAAAAGTGAAGCCGAATTTTAAAAAGTGAAGTCGAATTTGAAGATAAAGTAATACTAAAAATTGAAGAAAATATTCGTGTTTGAAAATAAATCATATTTACTAAAATACAGCAACAAAGTGTGTCTTAAGCGTTCCATCAGTTCAACCAGTGAAGTGGTGATGTGAAAAATGGAAAAGTAAAGTATCGCGTATTGCAATTCCAAGCGGGATTTATTTTCGAATTCAGCAACAATAATCGAAATATATATTATTCTATTTTCTTTAGAATTCTGCTCCAAGTAAAATCATTTTTCAAAGCCTTATTATGTTTCTTAATTGCCTGCTGTCTGTTGCCGATGGTGATATTGTCCTTTGTATGTAAGTACGGTGATCATGTGTGCGCTTAACTAACAGACATGATCATCAAATAGTGAATACAAATTACACAAATTAAAAATCAAAAATCTATATTGAAAAACGTATGCTTCAAACTCAAAGTCATCTCACTAAAAGTAATCCCCTTCTACCCCAAAATACTTGTGCCAACGTCTTCTCCAATCCTCGAAACAGTCTTCAATTGATTCAAAATGGTTTCCCCGAAGCGGTCGTTTGAGTTCGGTGGACAGCCAGAAGTCACACGGAGCTAAATCAGGTTAATACGGAGTCGCGGTACGATATTGGGTGAAAATTTTACTAAAAACTCACTAAGAATCAATTCAGTATGCGACAGTTCATTATCGTGGTGAAAAAAAATCAAGAGTTTTCGAATCATAATTATGTCCTTTTTTACGAATAGCTTCGCGAAAACGTTCCATAAAACTCAATTAGTATCCCTTGTTGACAGTTTGGTCGGTCGGAAGGTATTCTGAATGCACCAAACCTCAATAATCGAAGAAAACTGTCAACATAGCTTTGAGATGTTTTTTTCGGCTTCGGTCACCTCTGCTACGATATTCGATAGATTGATTGTCTATTTCCGGGTCGTAATGTATAGATAAAAGACATACCCAGTAATAATACATTACATGACATTCTAATAATGGGGAAACATTGTTTCAAAGATATTAACGCTACGAAGTTTTTCGAAAATATTCAGTGATTTTGGAACCAATCGTGCATTCTCTTTTCTTAGACTCAAATGATTTGCTATGAACTCAAAGTAGTTTTCACTGATCCTTCCGATATTCCAACGACGCTAGCAAGATCTCGGTGTTAATTGTCGATTCTCAAGCACCAAATTCTTCGATTTATTGACATGATGAGCATCAGTTGATGTTGATGGCCGTCCTGGACGTGATTCTTCTTCATGTTTATTTGCTTGCGACAAACAATTATCACTGAAGACATTTTCCAACATTCTGAACGATTCGGTACCAGAAATTTGATTCCAAGCAGTCATACCAACCTAGAAAATATTTCGACGTATGGGATTTCGCGCGAAGTCTTACTAGTGGTATCAGCCGTAAACTAAGTGTTCATATCGTAGATGTCTCTTTATATATACGTATATCTCTCTAAAAATTAAACAATAATTACATCCACATTTTGAGCACCCACTACATGCATGTCTTATACAAAGAGTCTCTAAACTCGATGCACAAAAAATCATATTCATATATTCTGGTGGCTGCACAATTTTCTATAATATTCGCTGATAACAAATTATTGTCTGCGAACAAACCCATGCACTAGCAATCAAATCTATCAGCTAAATAAATTAAAACAATGTGAAGGTATAGTGACAGCCGGTGTCGCGCACCGGCTCCAGTCTACAAAAGTTGCAATAAAAAATGTTTATTTTTATTATAAATAATGAAATACTATTTCGTATTTAAAGTTCAAGGCCAGATGCCGGGAAATACAACAACAAATATTGATAATAATAGTATGTATTGTAGAATATGCAATGATTTCGAAGCGACGCGAGAAAGACTGTTTTCGAAGTCGAAATGAATTTTGAAGCTGACATTATTGTGGTGTTTATGATGGTTCCAAGAGCGGCTAAATTAATTGAGTATATAATATAAGAAAACAGAAGTTAAAGCTTAATCAAATATGGAGACTAGAATAATTGGCCAGCTTACTAACCAACCACAAATAAATTAATAAGCCCAGAATAAACTTAGAAGCTTAGGATTTGGAACACCTGCTCCACTCCGTTCTGATTTATGTCGAATAGTACTGAAGGGTTTAAAATTATGTTATTACACTTTTTATTCTACCCTACATACATATATACATTTATGTTATGACTGTATTTGTGTTTGTAATACATATTTTCCGTACTCCGGCTCATTTAACCGGAACCTACCCAACTAAGCGATCAAATACATCAATCACAGTGAACTTTGCACACTTCTCGAACTGTGTTAACCATAAGCGTCATCAACAATAACAATTACACAATTACAACAACAAAATAAAGTCAGTCATTATGAACTTTGAATATTTCTATTACTCATTAATCGCCTTTTGCTGAGTGAAGATAAGCAAGCATTGGGCCTCACTCAATAAAAGTTGTAAACAAAAAGAGAAAAGCATATACATATGTACATACTATATATGCTATAAATTGTGGCAAAAAAAGCTCCCGGGAATTGTAATTAAATTCTTTGGGTAAGTGATATTTCAAGGAATGGAAACAGCCAGGTAGCTTCAAACATTTTCCTATGATGGAATCTAGTGCTACAGATAACCATATTTCCTGATCCTTTTTGGTGTTATTTCGTCATGGAGACCGAATTTACCGACCGCTGTGCCTAAGATACTTTCTTTGCCCACCTTGGCGGTAAAGTCGCCGCTCCTTTATATGGCCCTGTAGTAAATGCCACAATGCACTACTTGGACAGCGGTGATGTCAGCCTTTACTCTTACGAGGACATCAGCCAACACTATAGTGGTCGTCATCCAAAAGGGGGGTCTCTCAGCCGAGGCTGTTTTAATTATTTTTTGATAAATATGCTTAGTGTAAGACTGGAAGTCGTGAGCTGCTGGAGCCATATGTAAAAGCTGTCTCTTATACACATCTAGATGTGTATAAGAGACAGACACTATAGTGGTCGTCATCCAAAAGGGGGGTCTCTCAGCCGAGGCTGTTTTAATTATTTTTTGATAAATATGCTTAGTGTAAGACTGGAAGTCGTGAGCTGCTGGAGCCATATGTAAAAGACACGATTCTGGCCATTCCCAAGTGAATGGCGCTCAGAGAACTTCCCTCACTTGCGTGAACTTTAACACTTGGCTCCATCCATTCAATTTTGTTTTTCGCAAACAAGAGTTTTTGATTAATAGAAATTATTCAAAGAGGGTCGAGAACGCGTTGACGACGAACTACGCCCACAATGGTCATCAACATCAACTGATGATCAAAACGTCAATAAAATCCAGGAATTGGTGCTTGAGAATCCACGATTAACAGTCAGAGATCTTACTGGCATCATTGGAATATCGGAAGGATCAGTGAAAACCATTTTGAAATACCATTTCGGCCTAAGAAAAGTGAAAGCACGATTGATTCCAAAATCAATTTTTTCGAAAAACAGCGTCTCGTTTACGTATGTGAAACAATGCTTTCCAACTATCAGGATATCATGAAACGTATTATTACTTTCGTTGAGCCTTGGATCTATATTTACGACCCGGAGACAAAAGACCAATCGGCCTAATATCGTGGCAAAGATGAGCCGAAGAGGAAAAACCACTTCAAAGAACGACAAAAATCAACATTATGTATACAGTTTTCTTCGATTATCGAGGAGTAGTGTACTTCGAATTCCTTCCGATCGGCCAAATTGTCATTAAGGGATACTAATTGAGTGTTATGCGTCGTTTGCGGGAAGCTATTCGTAAAAAGAGGTCCGAATTAGGGGCCGACAACTCTTGGGTTTTGCACCACGATAATGCAACGTCGCATAATGCATTGATTCATCGAGAGTTTTTCGCGAAATTTTCAACCAATATAGCGCATTCGCTGAAAATTATGGCTATCACCCAAACTCAAACGACGCCTCAGTGGAAACTTTTTTGAGTCAATTGAAGACATTAAACGTGAATCCCCACGCGCATTGAATGCTATTCCGGAAATAGACTTTAACAACTGTTTCGAGGATTGGAAAAAATGTTGACACAAGTATATTGGGGCAAAGGGAGATTCCTTAAAGGGCTTTACTCAGTTTTTGAAGAGTATATTAACAATTTTAAAGTTATGAATAACTTCTTACTATTTTTTGCCCATAACAGTTTTTTCATGTATATTTTATGAATTGTGCTTTGTATATAAGTATATATACATACTTACAAATATACAATAATCTTTATCGCCAAATAAAAATGCACAATTCAAAGAAGCCAAATCTACAACCTTCCAAAATAGATTTATTAGCACTGCTCTTATCATAATGCAAGCTATTAATATACATATGTAAATAGAAATATATACATACATACACATATATATGATAAGTACTATATACAATCAAACACTCATAAGCACATTTGTTGAATTCCGAATTAGATCCGGCATGCGGTCTAAAATTCAGATGTCAAAACGGCAAAATTGCATATACAGTTAGACATGTACACATATAAATGCATTTTTTTATTAATGAATATACACACTTATTATATAGGCATATATTAACACACCCTTTCCTTCATAACTCCTTCATTAAATCAATGCATTTCAGGTGTCCACTACAGTGATGAGTTGGTTAATTATGTGCTTAGCATCAAATACCCCACACTCACCATCTCCAAATCCAAGAAGATTCGTACTTTTGTCGATACACCACGCAATGCGGGAATATTTCACTTTCTTCTTCAAATTAAAGGTCAGTGTGACTTTGAACAAATAAGACAGTACTATGCCGACAATCTGACGGATGCGCGTGACAAGGCTGGCTACTTGCGCTTTCCTAAATTGCGCCAAAAATTGGTGACCTGTTGGGGTCACTATGCTTGGGTGAATGATAATAGGTGAGTGTAAATAAACGAAAGAACGTAAGCAAGAGTCTACTTTGAATGGAATTGAACATAAGATACTCGCATAAATTTTAGGAAGGTTGCATGCAAACATCTCACTTATTGGCAGGAAGATATATGGTACTATTATCAGGGGGAAATGGAAAATAATTTTTTCCTTATACAAGAGATAGAGGAAGTTTTTAATCAACGTCCTCATTTTTTAGATCCAAAACTCCTTTGCGGAAAGGATGGAAAAACTTAGCAAACTGCCTTTAGTGTCTTTTTGAATGCGAAACGTCAGATGAATTCAGTGAATGAGAGAGTGGTGTAGGTTGGGGGCAATTCCTTCCGAACTCTGAGTGCTCAGAATTCTGTATTCTCTGGTTTCTCTTTACGGCCCTGGATGGATATCTAATTTTGAAAGTTATAATTTTTGAGACTGACGACTTCTACAATATTCTTTCCCAGTAGGAACAGATTAGTCCAGTGTCCCACTTGGACAATTAAAAGCAGCGGTCTTTTGCAGCGGTCCAACATAAATCTGGTAAAGGGAGATCTAATTCATATGGATAACTGAAGGTGTCAAAACCAAATGATTTTAAGTTTTCACTCGCGAAAGTAGGCAGTCAAAAATGGAGTACCAGACACTTCGACTATAGCAAACATTTTAGCATTACCACATAGGTAATCCCATATATAGGAAGAGATGAGCTTCACTAAGGGCAAGAAGCTCACTACACCTCTTCATGTTATTAGGTTAGGTGAGGTTAAACTGGCAGGCCAATAACTCACGTATAGATCAGTTTTTGGTCCTTTACGATACCAGATGGAGTTCAATTCCTAGGTCCAAGAGAAGTAGTCATCCTTTAAGATGTAGACTCTGTGGCCTCACTATGGATACCTCCTCCCGTATATCATACCATGGGGACCCCAGATGCTTACAGCGGAGTCTTGCCAATGCGAGACAAGTGCACAGGAGATGCTCCATTGTTTCCCTGGTGCCCTGCTCTAAACATTTCCTGCAGTCTTCTCAATCTGATACTCATGGTATTACAACTTTACTACTTCCCCATAATTGTGTAGTCCTAGGCAGCTGTAAATACATGTAAGGTTCTTCTAATTAATGACGAATCGAGATCGAGCAATTACAGGCGCTTAGTGAAAAACGTCTTTATCTAATAATACGTATTCTTATATCTTCGATTGTCCGACTTTACGCAGCGTTACAGAACGATAAGTTGTACTAGATATACGACGGCATCGACATAGTTCAACGAATTATGTGAGAGGGGCTAAGCTGGCTAGGTCTTGTCATCCGAATGGATGAAAACACTCCAGAGTTTTCAACGCAGTACTCACCGGTAGAAGCAGAGGAAGAAATATACTCCGTTTTAAAGGCCAGGTGGAGAAGGACATGGCTACACTTGGAATTTAAAATAGCCGCCAAACTGCGAAAAGGAAGAGCGGCTATATCTATGCCAATGAAGAAGAAGAAGACGATAACCCCTATACTTTTATTGGTTTAAAATATTTCTGTAAATAAGTTGGGTATCTGAAGGAGTTTCCTACGAAATTTTAGTTAGTCCAATATACTGCTACATTTCAAGGAGTAAGATGATTAAAGGCAGGACATTGTCACACCAAGTGGGGTTTCAACATTTGCAAAAATAAATGAGAATTCAGAAGGACTTTTTAGGCGACTCAAATAAAATAGTTAAGAATTGCAGGTACTTACCAAGTTGTAGGCGATGTGTGCTTGATCCACTGTTCGCTATTTGTCTCGATCCCGCTTTACTAGACACTATAAAATACATATCACGCATGTCTTTTCTTCTTTCAGTTCCTTCAATATAAACAATCATGTTGTGCTCAGTGCACGTACATATCGTGGACGTCCAGTGAGCGACAGTAATATACAAGATTTCGTAAGCGAATTGGCCACCAAGTACATACCGTCCGACTTGCCACAATGGCAAGTAATCGTTATACCAACAGCAACGACCACGTCCAATACAACAAACACAGCAGAGACTGAAAACGAAAATATGACAGCTGCGACACAAACCATGGTTGGTATACTTACTAACTTAACGCTGGTGAACTATTTTGTTTATTAAGTTTCTTCTTCCAATTTTAGGCCGAACACTACTATGTGCTCGTGAAAGTACATCATCTAATCATAGCCGAAGAGGAAGATTTACATATTAGCGAAATCTTAATGCTGCAGGAGAATGGACGCAAACCAGTGATAGATATCGATCAATACGGCGGTAGACGGAAGTCACAAGCACTATCCTATTTTGTGCGTGAACCCGTGCACATAAGACGTCTGCTCCAACACATTGCCGCGCAAATAGTGAATGCGTGGAATGCTTTCATCTATGAGTTTGAGTCGCTAGAGACACCAGATGGCTATAGACCCGTGCATATTACGAACGTTACGCAGTTGTTGTCGGTGTTACTGATCGTCACCGTGAATGTGTGCATCGATTATTGGCGCACAATGCAATTGCGTCAGAAGCTGCAACGGCGCTACAATGTGCAAAAAGATAACTATGGTCGTCTCAGGATATTCACGATGCTGTTGATGAAGGAGATCGAGCGACGCAATCTCTCATGGCAGTCCGCCTGGATGTCGATCTGTACTTCGTGGCATCCAACGAATATTGTGAAGACTTGGACTAAGTTCTTGTGGCGGCTCAACATCAACAATACCATCTTGTTGCCCTACCGCATCTACTGCGAACTGATGGCCATACGTGAGCTCATATTCCGGGGACAAACTCATCTAACGCACACACATGTGGGACGCATATCGATATACCTGCCAATGTTGTTGTATGCGCAAATCGAATTTCTCAAAATATGCTATGAAATCTTCAAAGCGCCAGTGAATATTTACGAAGAACTCTTTGTGAAACCGTCCAAAGAAGCGAATATATTGCAATTGAAATCATATTCGGGACGTAAAATCGTTTCATTCTCCAAATCCATCAATGCCGCTGAATTGCGTCAACGTCACAACTTTGATGCGACGACTTGTGAATCCGACTTCATACTCGCCTGCCTTGCTGGCGCATTACGTGATTACTTCGCTGTGCATAGCAGTCAGGCGCCAGTGCCACAGGTGCTCAATACGACGTGTCGTACCATTGCCAAGGGTTACTTCACGGAGAACACGGGCAATAAGGCAGAGAACATTGGTGGTGTGGTTTTTCTACAATTGCCGTTGCAGGCGCCCAGCCGTGAGCTCGTCCATAAAGTCCACACTATTGTGGAAGATATACGTCGCAAGCAAATCATGATCTATTTGGCGTCGCTGGGGCAAACTCGCTTCGATCTGCTGACCGCTTTGTTGCCACGTGTATTGACGAAAGTTTGTTTGAATTTCTTCTCACATAATTTTCCCGTTACTATTACGGAGATACACGGCGCTACGTCAGATTTTGAAACACTCTGGGGTCATGTGGTGGAGGATGTATTGCTCTTCAGACCGCCGCAATCGAAAACTTGTGGGTTTCTTCAATTGTTGTGAAATATGTAAATTTACTAAAGTAATGTTTTATTACTCCTTCCAGGTTTATCTTTGAATATTCATCGCTTTGGAGATCGATATCGTTTGGCGATAATGGCCGACACCCAACTGGGTCCAGATCATTCTCAAATATCTCGTGCATTTGAAAATTATATTGAAACATTGCAACTATGATGTGGTTCCAATTTATTCATTCATTTCTGTGATTAAATAATTTTGTAATAAAAGTCGGTTAACGAAATTAAAATTTTGAAAATTTAATGGAATTAGTCGGTATTAATTAATATCTGGTAAGCTTTTCAACCAACCAGTCTGAATCATTAATGGAGTCACGTCGTCCGTTCCCACGGCAGTCGGGACAACGTAACCGGAACGGACCCGGATTTTTATGCGGCCAAGGACTGTCAACTCGGTATAATTCTGCCGCTGCAACAACAACATTAATTGAGTCATGGGGGTAGTCACTACTAATTACGGCTTGACTGAAGATGAAAGACAAATATTAGACTGTAAAACCTTAAACAGTGAATTTAAGAAGTCTTCTGATATTAAGGTCTTAAAGTTCTATTAAAGTAAATATTAAATATTAATAAATTAGGGGTAAGATAGAACGATCATTCTTGAGATACTTAAGGATGTCTGTTGCGGTTCCAACGTCAATCACAAGGGATGTGTCAGCACGGTTCTTTCATGGATTAGTAAAAAGAATTATACGTCGTAGACCAATTTTTCGAAGAGAGCCTGCAAGGAGAATATCACTGATTTGATAAATGCATCCTGAAGAGATCAAATCAGCAGACGTTTTATTCTGTGAGGAAAAATGCGATTGAGACCTTTGTGACCGCAACTTAGATGGCTCAAAACGTTTCAATTTATGAAACAGTTGTGAATTCCTACAACAGATGGCTCTAGGATAGCGAAATTGATCTATTCCGAACTAGCTGTTTAAAGATAGGGCCCAAGAAGTCGAGTTTTGGGACGACTACTCAATTACAGATGACTAGCGGACTATACTTAAAACATCACTTTAGGTTTCTGCGGTAACATAAATTTTAAAATATTTTGAAAGAAATGCTACAATTGGCCGGTCAAGTCGTTTAGGTAAAATCAACAATTCTTGTTGTTTTACCGGCAGAAAACATTCTTTAAGAATTTTTGAGGAATGGTGTCGAGTTGACAGTCCTTGGCCGATTAAAAATCTGAGTCCGTTCCGGTTACTTAGGCTCGAATGTCGTGAAAACGGACGTAAAATCAACAGTCCTTGGTAGCGCCTTCGCGGTCTAGCGAATTCTTCGCAGTTATGAGATGGTTTAAAATTAGGGAAACTATTTCCGTAGCTGTTTAGACAGCCAAACGACACAAAGTTTGGGCAAAAGGAACATAGGATATCGGTTCTTTATGAGCTCAGAGTTCAATGTGATCATACTAATATTTCTTAAAATACATACATATGTATATAAAGGCCAATATGTATACTACACTTTGTTCGGAAACGAAGTCAGCTACACCAAAAACTTAACTTTACATCAGATTCACAAGTCAAAACGGACAGATATTTTTGAGATTAGAAAAACATTTTTATGTGCAAATCAGTAATTTGAAGCTTCTTTTCTCTGCTGTATATATATTTTGTAAATCATTATTAAATTTAACCTTTAGCAATGGACAATACGACTGAAGATTATCGCAAGCAATGGAAACACAGTTTTTTAGATCAAATGAAACCGAAATTTCAAGTAAGCGGCAAGGGCAATTAACTATACAATGAATATTTATTAATGCTCAAACTTTCAGACAAGTACCGGACAGGCATGCCAAGAACATATGAGTTACATGAGCAAAATGGCAGAAATTGAGAGTTACAAACAGCAACGCCGACAGCAACAGCGCTCCAGCGGTGGGGATGCAGATCGGGCGCTCTACGATATGCATTATCCTGGTCATAGCAGTCAGGCCGACAGTTATCGCGGTAGTAGTTACAACGAGAACAGCAACTTTAATCGTCATTATCAGCCCAAATCGAAACAAGCGCCTGCATTACCTTCATCAAGTAACGCTAATTCACACAAAATGCATGGCATGGACACCAATGTATATTTGTATGAAACTGATTCCAATATGGGTGGCGTTGGACCGGGTTCCGAGGAAAGTAATAAATCACAGAAGTCTTCCAAAACTGTGGTTAGCAAAAAAAGTTCACAAGACCTACGCAAGATGGTTAAATCGCAGTGTAAGCTACACGAAGTGATTGATAAGACTTTGAAACAAATGTGTACCACCGAACCGTTTACTTACTCTGAGAGTGTTAATGCTAGCACGAAGGAACAGGCGGCACAAATGGGTTCGCAGAAAACACCGGGTTCTTGCAAGCGTTGCACTGATAAAGTGTATGCACGTTCAAGCCAAAAAGATGTGATGACTGAAATGTCGAAAGGTGATTTTCTTGAATGCCGCTCAGGTGATACGTTAACTATATCGGTGGATGATGTTGTGAACTCGAAAGTGATTAATCCAATGATACGTAAATTACAACGCATGTATTTGAACAACTTGCGCGAAGAGATGTCACTGATGGAAGATTTGGAACGTTTGCCACATAAAGTAAATGAAGTTTACAAAGCCACCATATTTAAACAGAAAGAATAAGACGCTGTTCGGTAATGTTACTTGAAGAAAGTTTCTTGTGGAGAATGCGTGAAATGGGCGTTGCACATTTTAAATACATTTATTTCTTTATAAACACAATTCATCAACGCATTTTTTTCGAATAAATACCATTTCTGATTAACGCACCAAACTTATATTTTCGATTACCAATAACTGCATATAACAAAAACTTTATATTTAACGGTTTTAACCACTTCTGTATAGCTCTTTGCAGTTGTTCAAAAACTCTACCATCATATTGTAGGCGTCTTCGTCGAGTTCCGGATCGTCTTCAGCAAATAAAATGGACTATAAGACATAAGCAAATTAATAAACTGACATACTTTAGTAGTCTTGCTTTAATTAAATACCTCTTTAGCATCGATAACATCACTACCCATTGGCTTGCCAATGATTTCCACCCAACTTCCGCTACGTCCACCGGTAGAATCATGCAGTTTAACGCGAATTTTTTGCTTGTCCGTCGACATGCCCACCAGATTTGTACCGGCTTCCTCTTCAATGCGCAGGAATATGCTCACATTTTGGCCATTGAATTTCCGCAGCATGCCACCATTTACAAATGTACGTCCCTCAAAAGATGGTGCCATTTTTGAATAATTTTTGGAGAAAATTAAATAAATTTAAATAGTAAAGAATAATAGAATGCAATTGCAAAATAATCCGCCAAACGATGACAGTGGACGCTGACTCAGCTGTTAGCAGTGTTGTAAGGCGCAGAGACCGTATAGAAGAGTTCCTCCGCACAAATTTTATACAAAAATTGTGTTTAATTGAAATATAAGTTACAAAAAATATTTTTATATTTTAGATAGTTTTGGAAATTTAAAACTCTCTATATAATGCTTTCAATAAAATTTACCGTTCTAATACTAATTGGTTTCGAAACTATGGCAACTTTTAAGTATCAATCGGAAATTTTATTTTCCAATTGGACCAGCAACCCTGACATTTAATTTTTTTCGCGGCAACCCGGTAAATGTACAAAAATCAATCGAGGCAAATCAAATTCTGCTACTGCTGCCAAAATTTTCAATTTGAAAAATTCTAAATAAAAATTCTTTGCAAAATTCGTTCATCTTTATTAAATTAAATATCTTGTTCATCATGCTAAAATCGTGCAACATAAAGTCGAGTTTTTAATTGAAACATTTGAGAAAAGTGAAGAGATCAGAAAAACAATTTACATTTAAAAGTGTATGAAAAACCGTCAAGTCGCTTTTGTGTTCATTTTTTCACACCGCCCCGCTACCATCGCAAAAAAAAGACATCAGCTTAATATTGCTACATTTACCAGCGACGTCGCAGCCACCGTCAGGGTTTTCCGTGCAGCATAAACAATACAATTGAAGTATTTAAATTTATTTAATAACACAGCAAAATTGAACGGGCCATTGATTTTTCTCAGTTGTTTGAGCAAACTGCTGGAATTTTCAGCATTTGGAAGTAGTAGTGCGACAAAGAGCTGCTAAAATGAGTAGGTTGTCTTGTTAACAATGTACATTAGAATTAAATATGTTTTTATTGTTTAATTAATTTTATTTTATACGCTTTTATGTCAAGGATAAAAGTGCCTGTCATCATGATGGTTAGGAACGATTTGTTTTGACTATATTTTTTCATGAATTCTTTCAATTATGTACATATATTTTTTGTTTACGCACGGTTTGATATGTGTTGCGATGTCGTCATCGTCGACATTGCCGCAGGCGCACAAAAACAAATAATATCCTTAAGTTTGTAGAGGAAGCATGGGTTAGGATATTAATGGAGTGTCGTGTCTCTGAACTTAAGAAGTCCTTATGATTGTTTAAAAATGCATTAATTGATTTAATTTCGTTACGCATGTAAGGCATATTCGATTATTTTATTTGTGGCATAAATCGAAATTAATATTGATTTTGGTTTATATAATATTTTTGAAGAGTTTTATATTTTTTATTAAGAATATTTATTACAAAATCAGTGCTCTTCTTTTAATTTTTATAATTTGAATAATAAATGCTAATTCTTTTTCTATTTCATTTAATTCTTTTTATCTATAAATATAATATTTTTTTAATTTAAACTGCCTAATAGTCCATGATTTTATTATTAATCCTTTTTATATAATAGGCGAAGAGGAGAACGATAAAGTCACTTTGGATCTCTCGCGGAAGCAATTGAAGAAAGTGCCAAAACAGGATGACGCCCAAAATGTGCGTGTACTCAAACTGGACGAAAATGAGCTGCAGAAGATTGACAACATCGACTCCTATTTGAAAATTGAAGTTGTAAGTGCGCATAACAGTAATAGAAACAACAGTAAAAATGGTAAAATCGTAAAATTTTATTATTTAATATATTACAGCTTTCACTTAGTAAAAACCAGCTACTACGCATGTATGGCGTCTGTCGTTTACACTGTCTGCGCGAACTAAATCTATCGTTCAATGGCATACTCTCCATTGAGGGCCTGAAAGATTGCATACATCTGAGGCATTTGAATTTGGAGGGCAACAACATAAAAACCATTGAGCATTTAAATAATAATATTAAATTAGAATATTTAAATTTGGCTGAGAATAGTATGGGCAGTATATCGGATATATCGTTTTTGAAGAATTTAAAGGTATGAAAAACAAAAATATTTTGAAAACAAAAAAGAAAAAAATTGAAAAAAACAAACAAAAAAAAATATTTAAAAAAAATTCTGTTTTACAGGAATTATATTTGCAAGGCAACCGCTTAACGCATCTCCGACAATGTGATAAATATTTACCCGTATCCTTGGAAATTTTAACCTTAGCAAAAAATTCTATTAGCGATTTAAATGAGATCTGCACGCTGTCGAATTTGTCTAATTTGCATAGTCTAACCTTGAGTGAGAACCCATGTATTATGATGACTGGCAACGCCGAGTATGTTTTGTTTATGTTTACCAAAATTTTGTTGCATATTTTATTACTACTTACCACACATTTTTAATTTTTTACAGTGGCTTCGATCATCGCCCTTTCGTGTTGAATTGGTGTATGAGCTTAAAAGTGATTGATGGCTTTGTAGTAGATCCCATTGAGAGGTATTTATACGATTAGATATTTAAAAAATATAATTTATTGTGCCTAAATGCAATTGCAGCCTCAAAGCAGAATGGCTGTACAGTCAGGGGCGTGGGCGACAATTTCGCATTGGTGAACAAGCTACCTTGGCCAAATATTTAAGTTCTGTTTGTCCACTTATTGGCAAAGCATTGGAGAATGAGAATGAACGCAAATTACGTTTGATACTTAGCAAAGCACAGCAGCACCAACGACAATTGCAAGAGGAAATATCAGAGAATTCAAATGCGTCAAGCAATAATTCACCTTCTTCGTGCAGACGTAAGACCAGCAGTCGCATACAATCACCGAGATGTAAGAAAATATGCATATTTACTTAATTGTAGCTTCGGCGGGACCGTAGCTAATGTTTGCTCTTGTTTTTTGTTTCGTTGTAACTCACATTTTAATTTCACCTCCAATTTGTTTTTAGTTTCACGTTTAAGTGGGCGTCAAGGCTCACCTGACTCAATGGTGAATAGCTATCATGGCAACACTTCAAGTGAAACGAGTAAGTAATTTGAACTGTAATGCATATTTTCTAGTTTTTAAGTACTTGCGTAAAAATCTTCTTTTAGTTACGAACAATATAAATCACACAACACCGATGACCACTTCGTTGATAGAGAATATCAAACATGATTCGATGCTAATGTCACAAAGCACATGTGATAGCTCAACAACCGGCGGTGGCAGTAATATGAATACACGCACGAATAATTCGCAGGAATCTACGCCTCGCACGATAACGCCAAATCCATATAATGGTTAGTGAATTTGAAATTTGTTTGTGGTTAGGAAATGATATTTTTAGGTTAGAAGATGATATTTTTAGTTAATAACATTTTAATATGAAAATAATATTTTTAGTTCAGAAAATGATATTTCTGGCTTAGAACATGATATTTTTATATCACAAAATTATATACTTAGTATATAATATGATATTTTTAGGTTAGGTATCGCCACCTTATTGAACACAAAATAATTCTGTTGCTACTTTAATCTCCGCTACCTCACACTAACGGTATTTTTCTATATTACAGATCAAAATTATACCAATATGCCGGTTAACGTTGGTGGTCCCTTGGCTGCGGCCTCCAAAATGGTGCCCGTACCAGAGGCGCTTATGAGCCCAGATGTTTGTCCCGCCGCTGTGGCGCAACGCGTCACCGTCAACGCAATCAATACGCAAATGCAAAATTCGAAAACACACAAAAACAAAGGTTATTTCCGTTTGCTGTCATTTTTATTATATTTTTCATTTCGGCATATGAGATTTTTGTATTTCGTATATTTTTTTTTTTTTACAAATTTTTTGTTGTACAGCTGTCATTTATTGTTTGTAAATATGAGAGTCATCGATATTGAAATCGTTTTAGATAACAAACTCAATTCACCGAAGATGCGCAGTCCGCACTTGAAACGCAATACGGAACGCTATAGTCCGAATATGAGTCCACGACGTGGTAGTAGTACTTCGAATATGACACTGCAACATAACAATGTGTCGAATTTGAATCGCACCGTGGCCGCACATGCGCAGGCACAGGTGGATAATCAAATGAAGTCGCGCCTAACGGGCAATACGATGCACGTGGTGGCGCCGGATGCCGGTTCGGGTGGCATCAGTTCGGATGACGATAGCGATCACATAAATATTGACAAGCTGAAAACGATACGCAACAAGGCGGCACAGCGGTAATGCTAAATTACTACGCTGCTGAGGTTAAAGAAAAATAATTTTATTTGCAATTATAGCACACAACAACAACAACAGAAAGAGGCTAGTTTGCAACATGCAGAGAATCATGCTACCGAGTCTTCGGCGGTTGTTATACAAAAGATATGGCGCGGCTATCGTACACGCAAGAAAACCAAGGATATTGCAGAGAAGCTGCTTAAGATACGCACACACGAGTATATTGAGTAAGTAGACATTTAATTTGCTATGTGATTCCAGGCTCATTTTATTTCTTTCTGTCGTATTTGCAGCAAACTTACCAAAGATATGGAGCTCACCAAAGCGCAACTGGAGAACGAACGTAAAATACAGCAACTACAAATGCAGGCTATAAATGCGCTGTGGAAGAAGGTCTCCACAATGCAGGGTGGCGCAACAGTTAGTAGCGCCACAACTAGTATGACTGACAGCGCCACAACTGCTACTGTGGACGGCGGTAGCAATATCAGCGTTTCGACGGATAGTGGGCGTACCTTAGCGCTGGATAACAGCTCCACCGCCGCGGTGCACGACTTGGCCAAGACGTGTACAATGCTCACTAATCAGGTAAAGTTGTTGTTTAGCTTTTCATATAAAACACTTTTGTATAAAATTGGCGCTGCCAACAGGTGCAACAACTGCAAGGCTCCATGCGTGACATACTCAACTGCCTAACGTTATTCTGCAACTTGCCACAGGAGAATGTCAAGAAATTACTTTCAGCCGGCGTAGCCGACGCACTGGCCACCAATGAGAAACGCGATTGCGCTGCTACGCAAACTGAAATCATCGCTGTGCACACACCACAAATTGAGAATCAAAGTAATTTTCCATTCTCGAAAATACGCCCATCAACATTGCCGCTGGAGAAGCAGAAATGTGGCGCTGGCGCTGGTGGTGTGGGAAATGCCAGTCAGCAGCAGACTGTCTCAACGAGCGTTGGTTGCGACATGCAAACGCAACCATACCAACACTTGCAGCGTGAACAAATCACCGAAGTTGCTGAGCCGGCGGATCAGTTCAATGAAAGCGGCATACACAGTGAGGATGTGCGCAGCGTGGATGAGCAGGGCGATATGTGCGGTGAGAAATCCGATGATGGCAAGGAATAAGCTGCAATTTCTTAATTTTCGGATGTAAAATTTAGTTGCGTGAAGTGAACTACCCAAGCAGTATAACGGTGTATATATTTGTTGGGTGTGTGTATATGTGGTAAAAGTGGAGGCTTCTCACAAAGCAAAAAGTTTGCACCGAAGAACGTCGTGTTATACGCGCAAAAAAGATCTCAGCTACGGAATGTTTCTATTCCCAGTCCACTTTCTATTTTATAATTGCTATGCTTCTTTGTGATTTTTATACATTAGAAACTGAATTAATTTCGGCGTCCACTCTAAGCCTTTGGTAGTGTACATTTTGAATTTTACTCTTTTTTTTTGGTGCTTTTGTGGTATTTATTTGGTTTAAGCAAAATTTACAATTTTATGAACCTAATTTTCCAAAACGAAAAATGCTAAAATAATACAAACGGAAAATTATTTGTAAAAGAAACAATTTTTGTACTCTCTTTTTCTATGGAATTTCACGGATTTAGTAATTTAAATGTAACCAAACATTGACATGTGTGAACACAAGCTTGTATTAACAGCTGTTATTGTGTAGCAAGCAGAGGTGTAAGAATACAATTTTTATTTACTTTTTAATTTAATTTTTTGTTTTAAATAATACCAATTATATGCATTGAACGAGAATTCAATGTTTACAACTCGATTTGGTTACAACCAAAAGGATTTAAGAGTATAAGCATAACAAAGTTTGTGGCTTCAACGCTTATATGGCTATGTGACAATGAAAATTTTCGCATACTTAAAAGCATTTACCATTGAAAACCATAATTTATGGATTTTAATTTAGTTCTAAATTTAAATTATTTTCATTTGCTTTCCATTGCTTTTAATAAAAAGAGAAGTATTATTTCTTTATAAATGTAGTATATACATATGTATGTATTTATCTTGGTCAACGACTCGTTTGTGAAAAGCTTAAGGCGGCGTCCACTGCGAAGCACTGAATATGCTTTATAACAATTAAGATTTAAATAAATGCTTTCACTCATACAATTTTGCGAAAAATATTCATTAATATACAAAAAAGTTAGTGCTATGCTTACGAAAATAAAATTGCGAAAACGAAAATAAAAAAATGTAAATTTCGAGCTTTTGCACTTTTTACTGATTTATACACTCTAAGTAACATTTGCATCTTAAACATTGCAGTTTGACTAAAAATGCAAATAAAAGCAAAATTTGGAAAAAAAACTCAACGCAGAAAAACTTTTGTTTCGCACCTATTTATTACAATATAAAACCTAGAAACCTATTCAATTAGCATATTACGGAAATATTTTAGCTCTAAATAGTTTATAATATGCATACGTAGTTGCATAGTTGCAAAAATAACGCAAATTAGTTGACAGCACAGTAAAGCACACATTTGTTGACAGAATAATTGCTGAGGTTGCTGCAGGGTATACAATACGTTACGCTGCATGACATTTTTAATCGTCATCACTTGAGTTCTCTTCATCATCGCCTGCTTCGCTATTACTATCTTCTTGCGTTTGCGCCGGTCTATTGGGATTTCTCACCAGCAAGTCATCACCGTACGTGTCTTCGTCGCTATCCATTTGTACTTGTTCGTGTTCACGTTTTTTACCAAACGCTTTTGGCCATACACCCGCTTTGGTGTATTCCTTAATGTGTTCGGGTGTGAGAATTTTACAAATTTCCGCCTTCACTTTGTCACCCTCTTCGATGGGTTCCACGAGCACATAATCACCACGTTTAACCCAAACATTTTTACGAAATTTATTCGGCATGGATGCTAGGAAATTTTCCGCATTGACCTCAGCCGTTTCCACTTCGTGCAGATTATTACCACGACTACTGATCACCCGCACAATTTGTTGCTTCTCGCTGGGCAGCTCGAAATCATCTTCCATCATTTCCTTAAGCACATGTTTGCGGCGTACTACGCGAGACATTTTGTAGCGCTGATGAATTGTGAAAATAAAATTGTCAATTTGCAGTTAGTGCTTGTAAACAGTAAGCTGTGCGGTGTTTTACACCAGACGCAATAAATATATAATTTACGTACCTTTAGTGTATTCAAGATTTTAACTCGACTCGTTTTCTTATATGTTTCTTTTTTATGCTATGTTGTGCTTGTAAATGCATTTAAAACCAAATTAATTTGCGAAAATTGACGCAAAATGCGTGCTTTGGAATTTTTTGTTAACCACGAAAAATTCACTACAATGACAATCAGCTGTTCTGCATGAGTTGCCAGAGTGCGTGGGAAATTAATTTAGCTTGACAGTAGCTCGTACCGAAACGATATAGCATATCGGAACGGAAGCGTTGGCAGCCCAGAAAGTAACGGGAAATCGTCCATTTGTTTCAGTTTTTCGTTCGTGAGTCGCGTTTTTAATTCGTAATTTCTTATTTGAAAGTTTTATAGTTTAAAAGTGTGTAAATATTAAAAAATAGTAAAAAGTAGTGAAAGTGAAGTGCGCGTAATGAAAATTTTATGAAATTCCGTTTCGTGATTAGGTTTTAAACGTTTAGATTGTGTTTGTAAATTTGACTCTTGTGGCGTTACTTCCGCAGCCATTTTCAAATCATTCAGTCCCGTCGGGAATGTAGTTCGTTTGTATAAAAAGTTTGGTTAATTTGTATTAAATATTCGTGTGTGTGTGTGTGTTAAAAATATGGACTCAAGTAAAATGCGTTGTTGGAGCCGTACGTTCTTGCTCATGTGTTTGCGTAAAGGTTAGTGAAAATATTGCATATGTATATACATACATGCTTATGTGTCTATTTACATACATGTGTATAACCTAACATAGAAGTTGTAGATGTAGGAAGTGCAAGTAGCGAGCAGTCATATTTAGAGTTCCATTGCAGCAAATCTGTTCTAACGTACTTAAGTTATTGAACGCGTGTGCCAAAAACTGACTGTTGCTGTATTATTTAATGTACATACACATACAGAAAAATGTAAATATGTATATTACATTTTGTTACCATATATTGCAATACGATTATGTTACTATGAACGTATCTTCTCTTCTGAATGTTTTTAAGAAATGTATTCCTTGTTTTTTAAAATTATCTGTTATAAAAGGTTATCGGTAATAAATACTGATGTTATAGCTTTCTTAAGTTAAAATTTAACAAATATTTCATAAAAATATAAGACGGCTTCTAGAACCTTCTACGCAGAATAGACAGAAAAGCTCTAAACTTTTATTATGTCGTAATGTCGTGTAATATAAAATAGCGCCATAACAATAAGACACTATTATAATTATTATTGCTTTTGTGCATATTTAGCACGCCTTTGAAGTATTGAATTTAGACTCGCTTCACATTCCCTATTTTTTTATATTTTCCAACTGCTTGCTTTGGAAATCTTTGCCATTCACATAAAATTCACTACAATGTCAATCAGCTGTTTCTGTGTTGCCAGAGCGTATAAAACATGTATTGAGCTAAAATGTTAGTATATTTGCATGGATGTGTGTGCATACATATACACTTGCAGAAACAATATTGAATTTCGGAACGGAAATGTAGTTGGCAACACTAAATGCAGCAAGAAACGGTTTATACATGAATATTTCCTTCCTTAAGTGTAGTTTGGAAGATACTTATGGAAACTTTATGACTTAAAAGTGAATAATTTATTTTAAAATTACATATATCATATTATCAAAACATTTAGTTTGGAAATAATTATATGAAATTTTATTTGAGATATGACAATAATTATGCGAACGTTTATTTGGGGCTAGGTTTTATGCGTATAAATAAATATTGTAAATTTGGCTTTACTTCGGCAGCCATTTCTAAATCACATGGAGTCCGTTTAACGTTTTAAATTTGTATAAAATATTTAAATTCTGCTTGTTAATTGTGATACAATTTCATAATATTAAATATAAATCGTTGGAATAAAAATCACTAAATATTTTTTTGAAGAACAGCGTAGTGTTAATGTCAGTGAAGCAATGTTTTTAGACTACCAAGTTGTCATGAAATGTATTATTAATAGTCGTGAGTCTTGGATCTATGCTTAAGGTGAGCCCAAGCCGAGAAATCACGTCATACCAGATCAAAAATCAAGGTTATGCTGACAGCTTTCTTCGATTATGGAGGTGTAATGCAATCCTAATTTCCTCCGACCGTCCAAACTGTCAACAAGGAATACTAACTAGACTAGCGTTTAATAACTGTATCGAGGATTAAAAAAAAAACGTGGGCACAAGTGTATAAGGACCAAGAGGGATTAGTTTAAGGGGGCTGACGTACATATAAAATGAAGAATAAATTATGACTTTAAAAATTATGAACAAAGTCTTACTATTTTTTGCTCATAGTAGTATTAAGAGCAAAATGTTTGTAAGTGACCACGATTCTTACCTTTTCAAAAACTTTTAAAGATTCAACTATCACTTTGGAAAAAGTGCGAATGAGAGTTGTCACTGTAACCCCTCCTCCGTCTACAATTACTAAAAGGAGATATTATATGTTTTGACAGATTTTAACATAAATACTTATTAGGTCTTCAGAGACTTCTTAAAGTTTTAAGAAATCTCCCAAGGGGAAGGAGGAAATCTTGCTTAAATAAGGAAAAAATATACTGTTCTCTAAATTTTTAAAATTTTTACTTATAAAAAGTAAAATATTAAATAACTTACTGACTTTAAGCTCAATAACTTTAAAGAAAATACTCACTCAAACCGTAGTAAAAAACCTTTTTTTTCATAATTCTTTAATTTCAGCGTTTTTATTTAACAATTTCGAATTAAATATTTTCTGTAGTTAAAAAAAAGAACAAAAATAATATTTCTTATATAAACTTAATTTAGTCTAAAGGCTAATCATTATATAAGGCTACTTAGCTAATATTACAAATATAATAAATACAATGCGTAAAAAGCTGTAAGAGCAATATTAATATATGTATATATGATTGATTTCGTAAAATAATTAAATTTCTAACAATTTTGCTCTCATTCTAATAAAAAAATCGAACTGTGAGACAAATTTATTTTTTACTCAATCGCAAGATACGTTCCTTAAGGCAGCCTGGTGTCACTTTTGTCGTTTTTACCTTCTTACGTGATTGTGTTTGTATCTGTTTCGACTTGCGTAACCTAAAAATTGATAAATTTTTTGAAAAAATTTGCTTTTTTGTGTTTTCTTCTATTTATTATATTTTTAATTTTAGCGAAATGTACTTACAAGTCGTCATACAATGTGGCTATCTCCTTCTTCCATATGTCCTTAAAGTCATTCGTAAAATTGGTCCAATACTCAAAGAACTGATCGGGTGTGCATTGCTCTAGCGTACGTGATTTGGGCGTAAAATGATAAAAACGCATTGTCTCGATGAATGTCGAACGTGACTCATCCAAGTCTTTGTTCAGTTTATCAATCGTTTTGGTTGCGCTTTCTATAAACTCTTCCATTTTCGACTTAAACGGTTCCAAAGTGTTGGGTGTTGAGGCGCTTACAACGCGTTCAGTGGTTTTTTGATTAGCTAAAATGAAGACAATATATATTATTTATGTTTGCATTAAATAATTTTGTTTCATTGGTGAGCTCATTGCGGTCAAGGCGTTACAAAAATTTCCTAAAATGTTTTTTACACTTCTAAAATTGTGTTTTAACCTCCCACTCTCCCCACTCACCTTTAAGTTTTTTATGCAGTTCCATTATTTGCTGTTTAACCTCATCGAAATCCACTTGTGCAGCACGCTCTACGTCCGAGGGTTCGGGTATGGGTAATATCATTTCCAGCAATTGTACGCCTTCCTTTCGTCGCCTACTTATATAGGTACGCACGATGAAGTGCAGTAAGGTTGTCTGTGACTCCTTAGATTTGACGTCTTTGAGTTTGCCTAAAATTTCCAATGTAAATCCGTCCGCTTGTCCTCTCTGTCGATTGCCACCGTTCATATAGTTGCCCAACGTCAATATTATAGCGAATACATGCTTCAAGTCTTCGCTCTCGATCAGATATTGTGACAGTTGTGTGACAACCTCCAATTTTCGCGCAATTACCGTGGCGGCCTCCTCGAACTCAGCTTGGAAAACGATGCATGATATGCGCTCCGTAGACATTGAGATCTGTGAGATTTTGAGTAAAAATTGCTCGGGATAGTCTAGCGGTATGTCGCTTTGTGCCGCTTCCTTGATGAGTTCTAATTCCTCGTTTGTCGCTTTAATGTTAATAATCTGTTGTAAAGTTTCTAAACTAACCACCGATGTGTCCACGTGGTAGATGGCGTGTTCGATCTCACAGAAGTCAACATGCAGACTCCGCGACACAATACCGACATTCTGTGAACGTTTACTATCCAGCACCTTCATTGCCTTCACACGCACCACTTTTTTCTCTTTTGGCTTGCTGACAGGCACCACTGCCTGCCGCGAAAAGAGTTCGGTAAATTCGTCGATATTATCGAGACTTGTCTCCTCAATTTCCTGCCAGATTTCTTTGGGCGTTGCCGAGTCCACGGCATCGTCTGGTGAGCTACCACTACTGCTGGATTCTGTACTGGCTTGTGGGGGTGGCGGTTTAGGTAGTGGCGCGTTTGTAACTATGCGTGTCCAGTACAGCGGCTTCATCGGTTTGGGTGGGTTAACGGCAGTCTTTCGTAGAGCTGATAGGAAAAATTTTATTAAGTAATTTAGTGTATCAAAAAGTGCCGATTTACTACTTACTATTCGTGGTGTGAAACCAAGAGCCTTCTGTTGGATTCGGCAGTGGTGCCGGCGTGGTGGAGGAAGGTGGTTTTGGCGCACCGGGCGGAGGTGGGGGTGGCACAGCTGAAACGTTTAGGGGAGGCAACGCAGGTGGCGGCGGTGGTGGTGGACCGGCTGCTGGAGCTCCGAGCGCTGGTGGTGGTGGTGGCGGCGGTGCCGGTGCATTCATACCCGGCGGAGGAGGAGGTGGTGGCGGCGGCGGCGCTGTTGACGTTGGCGCTGGTGGAGGTGGCGGCGGCGGTGGTGGTGGCTTTGCAAGTGCTGCATCGAGTGGGGGTGGCGGCGGTGGTGGAGGCTTAGGCGCACTGGGCGCTACTTCCGCTTCCGTTTGTATTTCTTGATCACTGGTTTCTTTCGCTTTCACTTTGCATAGCGGACACGTGGTTAATGCCGTCACTAATATTTCATCAGTCTGTATTGCCATATCTTGTGGAGATTGCTTGGGAATAACGATAGCTGGCGCTGCTGTTGGTTTATCAATTTCGTAAACGGTCGCTTCGCTAGCGTTTAGCAGATCGGTTAATTCTATGCAGCGTTTAGATGGACGGCGTGTCATTTCGCTAACATTGAGCAGTTCATTGACCACCGTGTGCACTTCGGTTATGTTGCCACAGGCAAGCAGCCGCTTGCGGAGATTCTGTTGAAATGTAAGATCACCGGTGGTGGTATCCACTTGTACGCCTTTCGGTATGCGCGGCACTGTGCTGGGCGTACTGCAATGCGGCCAAACGGCTACTGTGTCCAGTCTGCCAGGTGTCAGGGGTACAGATGTGGTTGGCGCCTCCGTGTGGGTCCATTGATACATATAATAAGGCTGAAGAAAACGAAAATGAAAATTCAAATAACGTTAGTTATTGTAGTAATAGTATATAGAACATTTTTAGGAAGCGAAGTAATACTAATTCGTTCTATATTTCCTCGTATTTTGTCTTTACTAAATATTTAAATATTTTATGATCAGAGGGAGAATGATTTTGCTCCGCTTGGAATCTCCAATTCGCGCCACATTGCGAAAAGAAGAAACGACTGGCTCGCTGCTGTTAGTTCGGCTATAACCGCGTAAGTGGTGTCTACGCCAGTAAAGAAGAAGAAATCGATCAGAACATTTTTGAGCAGCACTGTTCATTTTTTATCTCTGGATGTAATGCCATTATAAAAGACTAATTTCGGGAATTTCATCAATTTTCATACCATTAAGTCCTCTTTATTACTGAATTTTCATTTAAAGTAGGAATAATCGCAAACGAGACACTTAACGAAGCTTGCTAGTCACACTAATATGGACATTGCCAAATTTATTCGATAATGGCAAAACTATATCAGCGGGCCTCTCAGTTCGTTTATGACCTCAAATATTTTATAAATGTTTTTCTTAGCTCATGTTCAGGTATCTCACTTTTTATTTGAGATATACGGTTAAAGTCCGTCAGCTGAACATAGTCATACCCGTACTTATTTTCTTTCGACAGTCGTAACTCTTTGTTACCAACTATTCTGCAATAGTTAGTACTTAATTAATCTATGAAAGTCTGCGTTATCTCTGATTGATCCATATGTCAGTTGTTTGATTTCGATACCAAAAGTTTGTCCTCCGATTTTTACCACGAAAAAAAAAAAATTGTACACCGAGTTTACTGGAAATTTTGTGTTTTTAATGTAATTATGACTACGAAATCGTTGAAATGTTTTGAAGTGTTTTGGAGAGTTTATTTTATCGCGAATCCAAGTATTTGACTGGCCCATAGCAGTCAGTAAGGGTAGCGAAATCTTGAAAAACTTTTATTAAAGACGATAAAGAAGAAGAAGACGATGAAGAAACAGTTCCTCGAAATCGTCGTGTTGACATCAGAGAGATAGCAGAGAATCTCAACATACATATGTATATATCTTATGGATCCATTTAACCCATTTGGGTTATATTATTTGGATTCACAGCCGGTTAAATTTCTCCAGGTGTTGGCAATATTATGTATATAAAATCATGAATGGATCACAGTCAAAGCGAAAATTAATTAATTCCCAATCGATTTTATCAATTTTAGCCAATATCACAATATTAACAGATTAATTCTATTTAAATGATCTCTAGATTTCATTAAGGTACCTGAAAAATCATATGGAGTAAAGTCAGCCGGAAGTTCGAAAAGTATTATATTAGTTATATAGAGATTGGGTCAAGTTTTCACCCAATTTTATCTATTTTTGGCATAAAAATACGCTCTCTCATTTTCATTGAGATAACTCACAAGTTGGCCGATATATGCCGTATAAGGCACCCGAAAATCTTGATATTAAGCATATGGGATCTAAGAGAAGTTTTGACCCGATTCAATCAATTCTTGATCTTCGGACAGACTCTTGTCAAACAAGAACTCTCTCCAAATGTCAATTATATATCTCATACATTGACTGACCCGGATTTTTATCAGGCCAAGGGCTGTCAACTCGGCAGAATTCAATCTCGAGTGTTCAGTTTATTGATTTATCGCACTTTTAGTCACCGTTTCTATTTAGATAAATTTGAACACAACAAAGTCTACTACTAGTGACTTAATTTCAGGTATAGGGTTGTACCCATATTGGATGACCTCTAATATAAATGTGTTTTTAAAAAATCAATTCAACTCCATATTTATTTAATGCTAACGACATGCAGAGAGTGCTGAGAGATATTCATTTGGCGGATAATAGTTAACAAGAATCTATATATAAAAATGTCTAATATTCCATTCCAGGAAAAACGACTCCATCTCCGCCAAATCCACAAAAGCAACTAAGCCACAAAACTCTTCAAACAGACCTTAGAACATATAGGTCTATTCATTTGATGAATTACATGAAGAAGCCCGGTCAATCATATAATAGAAAGCTAGGTCTATACAAGTACATGTAAAAATGTCTAATATTTCGGCCCACCAGAACACAGACTTGCTATATAATTCTTCTATATATTATAGTTTTTAGAAAAGATAAAGCAGAGGAAGGAGATTTTCATCTATGTATTTTTGTAAGATTTGATATTTGAAAGGATTTTAAATCATTCAAGACTTTGAGCGACACTCACAATGTATGATTCGCCTCAAGTCTTCCTGTGAAAAGTTAAATTCCTAAAAACGTAATTGAACTGTGTAAAAGCAAAAAATTTATAAATTTCATTTGCAACGGTATTGCCTCACGTTACCTTTAGTTATGCAACGCTTGTGACAAAAAAATTTGGAAATCACAACCAGGATAAGCCAACAGGGGACAGTGTAAGAATCTGCAATTCACAAGTGTCGCGCGAAATAAGCAAAAGGGTAGGAGCAAACAACAAAAATAGAAGAAGAAAAAGAAAAAAAAATCGAAAAAATTAGCAACATCATACTTACAATTGCACAAAGAGCGCAGCAACAGCCGTCGCGCAAATGAAAGCTGCTGCAAGAGGGAAGCTAGGAAGGGTTTCAAGTATCGGAGAAGCGCATAGCAATTTGCCAAGCCAAATTGTTAATGCCGAGGGGATTGAATATGCAACGGCACAAGGCAAAGGATATTGCGCGCTAACGAATATGTAGCCGGAATTGTGTAGGTGGTTGTGTGTGTGACGGCACATTTATGTATGTAACATTTTTTATACCCTGCACCCAAAAGAAAATGTCGGAGATCTTATAAAATATATGTGTATAGTACATTAATTATCAGTTTGACGAGCTGGTCAATTTAGTCATGTTCGTCTGTCTGTCCGTCAGTGTAGACAACAACTAATCTCTCATTTTTGAAGATGTTGGTCTGAAATTGTGCACACGTTCGTTCTCCCCAAAAAGTTCTGCATTTGTCGGAACTGCCGATATCGAACCACTATAGCATATAGCTGCCACACAAACTGAGCGATCGGAAACAAGTACTGGTATGGAAATTCTTCTCATTTTTCAAGATATCTTCATTAAATTTAACATGGGTTATTGCCTATGCCAATGGTGTAATCTCCGAAGATATTGTTTAGATCGCATCATTATAGCATATATTTGCCATACAAATTGAACAATCAAACTGAAGCCTTTGTATGGAGAACTCTTTTATTTGTCAAGATATCTTCATGAAATTCGCCATGGGGTTTTATCAAAGGAAATAGTGCAATCTCCGAAAGAATTTTTTGGATTTGATCACTAGCATATAGCTGTCATACAAACTGAACGATCAAAATCAGAATACAAATATGTTTATACCCTCTTTATACAATAACAACATTCCTACGAAGGGTATTGCAGCTTCGGTACAATCCAAGTTAACGGTTTTGCTTGTTTTTTTTGCTTTCTTTCTACATAAATATGTGTGTATGTGTTAGTATAAACGTAAATGCAGGTGAATATTTGTATAGCTGCATGAAGTCATGTAATCTTTTTCAAAGTTAAACGTCACCAAACGTTGATTGGCATAACAAAATGTGAGGGTGTGCGGGGGAAAAACCCTTGGTATCAAAAGGCTAATAGCTGCTGAGGTGCAAATCTGTTCCCACACATATACGTTTTTATGTTTATGTGTATGTGAGTGTGTGTTTGCAGTTAGATGCGTCCTGCCGCTCACCTCCCAATTACAAAATTGCTAATACAGAATCACTAAATACATACATACGTAAGTCCATATATGGTTTGTATGTGGTGCTTGCATCGGCACACACACTTATAACGTCCACAACTGTGTTTGTTTACCGCTTTTTGTGGCGCATTTTAGGTTTAACAGCCGTTTCATACTCCAACACTTCGCATTGAACACACACTCACATATAAAATATTTGTATTTACCGCTACATATGCACATACACATAGTCATGCCGCAAATGCATGTGGTTGTGTTTGTTTGTGCACTTGTTTGCAGAGTGCAAATTATCAACAGTGTGTTAACACTCTTCACAAATGGTGTGAAATGCGATTAAAGGTTCGTGTGTGATTTTTTTATTCATTCTTTCATTTGCTTTTTTTTTTTTGCTTGCAAGTTGCCCTTTAAACTTGATTTGCATTTTTATGCGCGATGCTCTTCAAATCTGAGCGTGTGAGGTGCATATGTTGGGGGTTGGGCGTGGAGAGCGCTTTAAAAATTTTCAAAAGTGTTTAGTGCTTTTGAACGGCTAAAAGAGAGCATTTACTGTGTTTATTGGTGGTGGCTGGTGGTTCAAATGCCCTATCCATTAATTTCTATCTTTTATATGTCTATTAGTTCATTCATACATGTACATATGTACGTATATACGAGTACATAGTACATGCTTATGACTATGTTTCCGCAAGTGCAAAATACATACATATTTATAGAAAAATAGTATATCGAAAGTGTTCGAAAAAAATTTCAGCGAAAGAAGTGCGATGTTAATCACAGTCTTGTTGCTGTCGTGAATTCTACTTAGTGTAACTTAATGTTTCCTGCAAACTGGAATGAAATTAGAGGATTAAAATTAAAAAAAAAAATTATTGTTTTTGACTTAAAGTACACTGTAGGATTCTAAGAACATTACTCAGTAAGTAAAAATATAAAAAAATCGTTTACCTGTCCTTTTGACTGTCGACTGTGTCGAAGTGTTTAAGTTAACGAACTTCAGTCTATTAAAATTAAATCAGATTTTTTAAATTAAGACTAGGCAATTACAAAAAGCTACAAATATACTAACAAGTCTAATGTAGATTAATATCCCTTTTTATACTATTGCAACATGTTGCTACAGAGTATTGTAGTTTGATTTACCTAATGATTGTACGTATTATCTAAAATTAATCGAGATAGACGTAGGATTACATATATATGATCAGGATGATGAGAAAAGTCGAAACCCGGGTGACTGTCTAT